ATGGTACATTGTAAAGATTTAAAGTCCACTATATGATAATTTTGATAAAACTTGGATAGACATTATTTGAATAAAAGAAGAAAAAAAAATATCAACTTTAATTAGAGAAGAGTAGAATGCCAACAACGCCATCGTGTAGCACAAGTACGTAGTCGATCAAAAATCATTTAAATAATAGATGTATTAATGTATTTAATTTTATTTTTGTAGATTTTATTCGATAATTCATATGGGTTTAAATTTCAAAAATGAAATTATCATAATAACATTTAACTGTATTTTTCCTCAAAAATGTAGCACATATTGCTTGAACACGAGGCACGTCTATTCTAAAGACCGACTCCCATCCAGACATTCTTTATATTTAATACGGTTATTAATGTGTCATGTTCAATTATATTTATGATTAGTTTTGACTCAATTAGTTTTACTGTTTTAAAGTATTTTGTTTTGATAACTATCTTTTTGCTAACCTTTTTTTCTAAGGTTTCGATTGTCTTTTACATGTATACCATATATGTGTTAATCTTTGCGTGAGATGTTTGCCTATATAACCCCCCTTCCATAGATGAAGGAGTACGCTGCTTAATCGTAGTTTTTGTGTCCGTCCGTGCGTCTGTCCGTATCAAGTTTTCGTCGCAGTTTTTTCAGCATTAACTCATCGCAGATGCTTGAAATTTCCACACAATCTTCTCTGTGGCATCTCATATGATGGAAATCATTTTTGTTTGAATACGATTTCACTTCTCGTTTATATGTGCATCTGTCCGTTTCTTACATAAAAAAAAATCTTCGCAGTTTTCGCAGCAACAACTTATCGCAGATGCTAAAAAAATTCAGCGTAACATTCTCTAATGTATGTCAAATGGTCTGCTTTTTTGTTCAAATCGGCTGTAATCTTCCTCTTTTATTTATGCTTTTAACCCTACCATAGATAACAATAATTTTGTCGAATTTTCTTAGCAACTACTTTTTACAAATGCTTGCAATTCTTGCACATAATTTGTTGAGGCATGCCATATGGTTGGATTAATTTGTATATGAATCTGATGTCAACTGCCTATTTATTTGTGCATCATCTTTTATTCAAACTTTTGTTTACATTTGCAAATATTCTCCCTTATATAACACTATTTGACAAGGCTTTTTTAAATCTGCGTAAAACGCTCGTCATGTGATCATAAATTGATTGTTTAGTCATAAGCGATCTACGTAATTTGATAATGACGTCATAAGCGAACGACGTTATCAACACATTCAATTAATGCACTGTTGAGTTTTGAAAAAAACTTTATGGATTTCAAACTTTACTTAAGTACCGGTACCTTACTATTTGTAATAAATCGGTCACAAATGTAAATATAAGTAATTAGATACACGTGTATCATTTTTTTTGAGTTTTATTGATCATGTGCCAACCTGTTTTACATCCCAATAAAACTTAAAAAATGATACATGTACCGTTTCCCTTAAGTATATTCACACTGGGTACTACTAGTAAGAGCATTGTATCACAGACTTCTTGTTTCTTTTGATGTGCTATATTATCACATTTTTTTAGCTCAACTGAGTCAAGCTTTCCTGCTAAAATTTGTTTGTTATTGTTCGCGTTGGTTTTGTCGTAAATTGTCACATTTTCATCTTCCCAGTAATCGTTCACTTCGTGATCGGGAGGCCCGGGTTCGATTCTCGTTCATGGCGCTGCGTCAAACCTAAGAGGTAACCATAGGTACTGACTGTTCCTTTGCTAAACGCTCGGCATTAGAAGTGAAAGTCACGGGTCTATTTGGATATGACATTTAAAACGAATGTAGGCGTTGGCACCTCACTGAAAAACAAACTGCATTGAGCTTCAAGACACAATTATGGATAAGTTTGTTTAATGGTTTAAGTTTAATATTGATTTTCTAAATAGTCGTTCCTTTCAAAATTGATTTCCTTTATAAATTTTTTTTTCTATTTTACCATTCAGTTAGATTAAAAAACAAATAAATAATAAAAATGTGAAAAGACATTTAGCATTTGCTAATGGCAAAAAGGATTTAAACCCTGTACAGTTCTCTGTCAATCGTGGACTTCAGTAAGGCATGGTATTCTCGACGCTATGTAATTAACGTCTATCAAGTGGCGAATAGTTTCTTATTGGTTAAGAAATTAATAACAAAAAAACTTTAAATTGACAACGATGAGACGACATATGCCGATCCTCTCAGTTGTACAAAACGCCTTCATTGACGCATTGCTACATGTACACTTGTAAACATTTGCATGCCTTACTATGCCATATATATTTCAACAATTAACGAAAGGCTAAGAGTATGTAAATTTCAGACGTTTATTACATTTAGATTACCACGCCTTACTGAAAGTCCAAGTCTAACAGAGAATTGTACTCATATTTTTAAATAAGACATCGAAGAATTTAAATCTAATATTGTTGAAAAGAAAATTGTTCACATCTTGGTTTTTTTTTTTTATTTCAAATGATTTGAAAAGTTCCTGGCAATGTATATTGCAGTACAGATGAATGCTTCCTGAAAATTGTTTAAACATAGTTCAACATACATGAACACCAAGCATGTAATTTTTGCGTTTTTTTCCAGTCTAAAGATAAAAAGGTTTTCATTTCATGATGTGTATACTGTTTAAAATGCATTTATCGCTCTCTTTTGAGTAGGAATCCAGGTAAGGGACATGTATTGCTTAAATGCAATACTCCCAGAATGCTTGTTTTTATCTTAATATGTTCTTAAAGAGAGAGAGAGAGTTTATCGAACAAGTAACGAATGATATTATTTACACATATTTAAGTCGAAAGAACCACGTACTCTAACTCTTGATTCCCGCGTACATTTTGCACCCTTTAAATTCAATTTTAATTGCAATTTGGCCAATAAATCTTGGTTTAGTACAAAGAACAGATCTTTGGTATTTGATTAATCATATTAATTCCAGCTCTAGATAGTAAATGATCATTTATTTCAGCTCTCAAAAAAGGGGGGTATACTATATTTTCTAGTGAAATCGAACTTTTAAGAATCACTTTACTTTGAAATAGTCTTAAATATGATTAAATGTATTTCATATCTTTTCTTATGCTGTACACAAATAAATAAAACATATATAAATTATCAAAATACAATTATTTATTTGCAAATAGCTTTAGAATGGGTAAAAATCAACATTTTTTCTTTTTTTGTCTATAGAAATAGGCCCCCCCCCCCCCCCCCGTGAAACACAAAAAGCTTTGGCATAAATTTGTAAAATGACAGTCTATATTATCTGTAAAAAGGAATTTTTGTTTCATGGGGGGAAAGATGTTTTAAAAATATTTTCCGTTTTCCATTGATTTCTATAGTGAAATACTCAAGTTTTACCATAATTATAGAGTTATCTTTCTTTGGTATCCCAAAAACGTAACGTTTTATGAAAATTCATATAAATGTCTTTAAAAATTCTGAAAATCATTCAAATATGTAAACTTTTGAAAATTGACTTAGAGCTAGGCGGGAGAACAATACTATCGTTCGTGGTTCTTTCGTTTTGTTTTCCAACTAGTAAAAGATGTCTTCATTTTAAAAATAAAAATAAGTCTTTTTTTTTTTGCCTTGTTTAATGTATAGTTTCCTCAATGTATCTTTATAAAATGCATGTACATACTGTATTGATATTTTCGGTGCACACCTTAACGTTTGATTTAGGAGATGAAAATTTTAAGAAAATACCCCTTATAAGTTTAGAAATTAAAAAAAATGTACAGATCATTAGAAATACCCTATAACGTAAATTGTAATTGACATTTTATAACCTTCAAGTGAGTTATGATAAAACTTTAATATAAAGGAAATTTTTGATTTGGAGAAAAAAATGTGAACCATAATGGATACATACATGTAATTTCTTTAAAAGTCTAATATCCTGTTGTGGACAAGGAAATGAGTTAAAAGCAAAGTGGAGAATTGTATAATTCTCACATCAAGATTAATTGTCAAGAGAACAATTATGTAACTTATTCAAGTGTTGTTTCCTATCATATAACTTTTATGCTTAAAAAATTACATTGTCATTGTAAATTGTTAAACATAGATATTTTAAACTGAGTAATTTTGTCGGTGAGAAATAACTCCTCCACTTGTCATTTATGCTTACAGAGCCTGAGTATTTATTATTAAATTGTGATTTTCATTTTCTATATCCATTTACTTTTAAAATGGCTACCCACTGGGTAATGCTGACAATATCATTGCTTGGAATTATACACGGTTATGGTAAATGATCGGAAAATAATTTCTTTCTGTGTACTTTTAAGATAATCTTTCATTACTATTGAAGCGTTTTTGTTTCAATAATATTTTGTTAAAGTTGGTAAAATTGGTACTGGGTTTTCCAACTTAAATCTTGACTTTTCCAAGATGATTACAATCAAAACTTACAATAATTTTTAAATGGTATGCGTACTGTTAGGTCAAACTCACTATATATTGTAAAGCTTTTACTTATGCGATGAAGACGCTCTAGTTTGAAAGGACGTTTTTGTTTCCAATACACAGATACCATTTGTAAAAGAGTAACTTGCACAGTTAAACGGAGTTCTGTAAGAGAGGGTTTAACTGCAGATAAAGTTACTGACGGAAATACCAAACAAGATTATCACAGCTGTATACATGTATATACAGCACGTATTGCAACGTCAGAGGCATGGGTTATGGTGGACTTACAAAAAGAATATAAACTGCAAAATATCGTCATCTACTATAAAAATGAGATTGGTAATTGAAAGCGATAATTTTGCAGTAACAGTATTTTTAATTTGTATTTGGTAGTGAATGTTATTAACTTGGTATAAACAATATATCCTTTCTAGGCAATTTAAATTTTATTAATAAGCGTAGAATTAAACCAAACTATTTGTTTTAAACCTCCATATGATATATTGACAGATGATCTTAACGTGGTAAAAAAGAATGTATCAAGAGTTGTTTGGAATTCAAGACGACAATATCGATTCAGGAAATACAGCTTAGAAGTATCAAATTCCTCTGATGCAGAACAATGGGAAGAATGCTACAAAGCTAACACATCGGATTCCAGTATACCTTTAAGTATACTGAATATTTCATGTAAAAGAACAGCCAGATACCTCAGAATTATAACAAACTATGACGCTCCTGAAGACGATGCATTCTCTGAAAAGGCTCCTATACCTAAAGTTTGTGAAATTCAAATTTATGGTAAGATTGTCTCTTTTCGTTTTAAAAATCAAGTTTCCTGAAATGTGCAAAATTTTTTTTTTCATTTAAATATTTCAGAATCACAAATGAAAGGACAAAAGTACATATTAACTGTACGCTTTGGCCTTTAAAAATAACTTGTTTAGTCTCAAATCTGTGTCTAAAATATATAAGTATCTAGCAGAAGGTGTTCATGAAGTATTGTAAATATTCTTTAGGCCATTGCACCGTAATTTAGTAAAGGAATTATTATACATTGTAATCCCTGATGACTTACATGGGAAAAAGCAATGTCCTACTAAAAGCGACTGAATTGTAAATCTGTCATTTAACTATCATTTAGCAATTGTTCTGTCACATTTCAGTTGCTGAATGGCAGAGTTGCATCTTGTGAGAGGTCTGTGGCAACGCACTTTGAAAAAATTACGCACTTTGAAAAAATTTTTCAAAGTGCGTTAAATTTTGGGACCAGGTTAACGCACTTTAAAAAAATAATTTTTTTTTCAAAGTGCGTTAATATCGACCATATTAACGCACTTTGAAAAAAAAAAAATTCTGCATGGCTTAATCAATATTCCTACAAATCTTAGGTATGATAAATTATCATTTGAACCTGATTTGATACTTTTTGTCCCTCGCTTGAAAAGTGGGAGATATTAATTTGGGTCTATCTGTCAGTCCGTCCGTCTAGCTGTCCGTCCATCCGTCTTTCTGTAACGCTTTCGTTTCCACACGATATCTCGCCAACCCTTTGAGCTTTTGCAATGAAATTTAACATAACAGAATCCCTGTGGCCTTAGGAAGACCCCTTTTGAATTTGGTGTCAAAAGGTCAACATTCAATGTCGTAAAGAACTACGAACGATAGTATTGTTCTTCCGCCTATCTCTTAGTCAATTCTCAATAGTTAACATATTGGAATGATTCTAAAAATTTTTATAGATATTTATATGAATTTTCATAAAACCTTACTTATTAGGGATACCAAATTAAAGAGAAATAACTCTATAATTTTGGCAAAACTTGTGTTTTTAAGTACCTGGAGTTTAACAGAGAGATCATCAGATATGGTATCAAATTAACATCGAAAAGCAGACAGGTACTGTAGATTCCTTAATATAAGCGAGGAATTAATTTCTGCGTAATTTTGCGAGAAGTATCACTTGCGAAAAAAATATTACTCGCTTTTATTTTTCTGGTGCTTAAATCTATGTAAAATCTGTTCATTAACCGTTCATTCGCGAATTATAATTCTAGCGATTTGACGTTTGAGAGCCAGTTCGCGATAAAAAACACTCGCGAAAAATAAGCAATTTACAGCTAGTAATTAATATTCTGATTTTCCTGAAAATGAACATAAATAGACTTTGAGATTTAAAAGAACAAAATTTCGATTTACTACAGACTTCCTTGTACAGTGCTTATACTGTATTTAGAATGCTCTTTTTTTCAAATATCATTGACACTTAAAGTTACGAGTTATAGAAATAGATATATCTGGGTGGGAATGATAAAGAGTTGAGCTGATAGACCTTAATTCAGCCAGTCTTTTCTTCGTTTTCCGTTTCTTGGTTTTCTTCAATCCATCATTTTTTAGAAAGAAACACATCAAAGTAAGGGCACCGCAAAGCGGAGCATTCCTTCCCAAAAAAGCATGTTCAGTAAATCATTTAACATTGATCCCGATACAAATTACGTCAATATTCCACACAGAAAAAAACTAACATACACACTAAGTAATAACACACATAATCGCATCACTATATCCCATCATACGTTGCGAGGGGATAATACTGTTGTCTATTTCTAAAATAAAAGTCTAATTCCTTTTGTTTCATGAAAATTTTTTCAAAGTGCGTTAAATGTTTACATGGTGTAAAATTATGATGTACAGTTTTAACGCACTTTGAAAAAATTTTTCAAAGTGCGTTGATTTGGTCCCAAATTCAACGCACTTTGAAAAAATTTTTCAAAGTGCGTTAACCTGGTCCCAAAAATTAACGCACTTTGAAAAAATTTTTCAAAGTGCGTAATTTTTCAAAGTGCGTTGTAACAGAGGTCGCAATGATTCAAGCAAGATACGAACTTTATACACTCAGATAACTATTTTCTATAGGTTCTGATATAGGTTGTTACGGTCCAAACCGTTCACGCTGTGAAGATTGTGAGCATTGCGATACTGAAACTGGCTGCCGTAAGTTATTCATTCTAAATTATATTTAAAAAAAAAAGTACCTTTGAAAATGTGAAGCTATAGATTCCTTTACGAAAATCTATATCTAGATTTTTTCTTATTTCTCTTATATCATGGGCATTTTACAGTGCCCTTTATAGCATCATCAGAGATTGTTAAATTACAAGTTCATAACCAATGTGATTCCAACGATATTCGTATAATACATGTTTTTCTTCAATCTAATTAAAATAAGATGTTAGATCCGCTCGCATACTCGCTACACCATACATCTAATACCATCCCATAGAGGGTCACGTCAGAGGTCAAATTCCGAAAACCTTTAGACTTATTCGCTTCAAGAAGATACTATGATTTTGCAGGCGATGACTTGATTGGTTGATATAATTTGACCTCTGACGTGACCCTTAAGGCGATGCTTTTAGATGTTAGTGAAACGAATATTCCAGCGGATCTAACATTTAATTTAAATTAGATTGGGATTTCTTAATCAGATTATCATTAGATACAGATAATTCTAAGAGCAAATTTGTGAAAGATAAATTACTAAGTTGTCTACAGTGGTGGCTTTCCTTATTGGGAGGGTTGGGGTACATGCAGATTTTAAAATAATACATGTACATCTAAAAACAGACAGTCAAATATTGTTGGCGATGTTTCTTTATTCTATTGTAGGAAACAATGAGGCGTCAGAGAAAAATGAAATAACAAAAGTTCACTCTGTTCTGTACGGCGTGGTTACATTTCTCATTTTAAGTATATTTGTGAACACATTTTTCATTGCGTGGTAAGATTTTTATCAATCTAATTATCTATAAAGTAGATGAAATAAATCAGATGGCTAATTCAAGAAAAAAAATGCAAAAATATCTTTCTCATCTGCGGATACTTTATTGTTACAGGAAAGTGAAAGAAAAAATTGATATAAGACGAGCCTCAACGAACGAACACGGTCCATACAATTCAATTAGAGATGCCAACAGAGATGTGTATGATAGAATAGAAGACATCGCCAACTACCAAGAACTTGGACAATTAAGCCAACCCTCACAGTATGAAGGACTCAACAAATGAATGTCCTCGCACTTCTAAAATGTTTGTTTCTAAAAAATGCTACAAAGAGACGATTGCTGGAGAGACGGACTTGAGGTTACTTTAAATCTAAGAAGATATTTAACGACTTTATTTACTCGATATGGTTAGCCTTACTTTTGTTTTTTCGCTTTAATGTCCTTTAACATCAATGTTCATTATTTTCACAATTTTGGTAGTTATCACCTTTTGTTCAAAATATGAATCAAATAGCAAGCAATAACACGTATATGTAAAAACATTAATGTTTTCATAATATTTTATGATAATTTTAAAATATGACCTTCAGTATTATAGCAAATCAATAACACATTGTACATTTTCAAAAGATGTTATTCTCTTTCTTTTAATTGCATGGTACATTATTCTGTAATCATTGTTCATTTTTACAAATTAGATAACACGTGAAAATACTCAATTTTAAGTTTTTTTATGATATCCGAGACAATTTGTTATATGACGGTTATAGAAGAAAAACTACTATATATAAATGAGAAAGAGAAAGAGAGAAAGAATCTGTATCTGATAAAAGAAGATAACGAAAATTGATAGAGTATGTAACTTTGTTTTATGTTTAAATTTTGTTACTTTATTAGATTGTATTATTGTTTTAAAATCCCTCTCGAGAATTTTTCATTCATATGGGGACGCCACCATTTGCCGATGGAGAGCTGCAAATTTTTTCTTTTACTCGGCACTCAGGGCCAGTGAGCAGGGAGGGATCCTTTTTGTGCCAGCACGTACTGCAACACGGGATCTCGGTTTACACGGTCTCATCCGAAGGACCGGTCTCCACGTACTTTATTAGAAGAAAGAATATTTGTTTCAATTATACATCATTTAAATTATAACAAGTAAACTAACTGACTTTTGACATTTCATATATCATCTAATCACTTGCTTTGTACTTTCCATATCGCTACATGTAGTATTGTTCACATGTTTTGTGAACAGTTAATTTCAGATTGTGAACGGTATGTTCGTAGTTCTACTTCACAATGAAAAAAAAAATATATAAGGAATCACTGTCTAATTAGTAGAGTATACCAGGGACATGAACGATAGAAGGAAACGCGGATAATTCGTTCGTTGGGAAAATTATCTTAGGATTCAATATTAATGTATTGTTGATTTTGACAGGCTGGAGCTTGCTTTTAGGTGCAGTATGCACAATTTCTTAAGTTATTGACAAAGAAGTTGATAGAACAAACTTAAAATATCAGCCTCGTTTTAAGTCATCGTAAGTTCTATCTTCGATACAATGGCCTTGTAGGCAAACACAATTTATCATTATTAAGTAAAATACTGACTGCCGTTTTCCATACTAATTTTTATACCAATTTACACACTGAATTGTCGATGCTGGTGCAGCAGGTTGGCCGGTTGTGTTCCCTCCTCCATGGCACCTATCCCACCCTTGTTGTTTAGAGGTTCGTGTTTCTTTTGCTAAAAAAATTGTATTGTTTATTGGAATTTTGAGCTTGAATACTTTTTGTTATCTCCATCTATCTCATTTTTAATTGAATCATGAAAGGCTTTCTAAAAGAAAAATTACGAAAATAAGTAAAAAAAAAAGAAAGAAGAAAAGACGATTGACAGTTGAACAATAATTTAACAGAGCAAGTTTGAATGGAAGGTCCCATAAATGTAGCAAATCAATTCAACAGACATGACAATTACATCCGCATTAAAATACAAAAAAGACTTGCACAAATAATAAATAAATAAATAAACATAATGTAAAAAAAAATAATAATATATAAATAAAATAATGTAAAATAAATAATGTAAAAAAAATCAATTTTGACATTAACGTTACTTATTTTTAAATTTTTCTTTTCAATTTTGCATTTTTTCAAAGAAAGTCGGTTCTCTTTATGCACAAAATGGCCCTGTAGATATACGAATTCATTGATTAACACTTAATTTTTCATTT